CCAAAAAAATCTAAAAAACTTAGTAACAACTTAAAAAACGTTACCGCTGCTTTAGTGGTCTGTGAGGGTAATGATAATACTCCTACAACAATTAAAATCAATTTTAAATCCAATTCCTCTAAAAATTCTTTTGATACTAGTACACCCAAAAATAAAGTCCCTAATACGAACCAAATACCCAACACATCCAATACATCCAAACCGTACAAAAAGTTCACTAAGACAACAACAACGACAAAAACTGCTACTACAACAATAGAAACTATCGAAACAACAACAACTACAGATAATATAGGTACAAGTACAACAACAACTTCAAAATATTCGAATTCCTTACAGAATTGCCAGTTCTGCACATCTGGCGAAAATGAAGATAAATTATTACTGTGCGATGGTTGCGATAAAGGCTACCACACCTATTGCTTCAAGCCTAAAATGGAAAATATACCCGATGGAGATTGGTGAGTATCACAGAATCTACACACAAAAGTGGGTGGTAAAAATTTAAATAGTTTTAGTTTTATCTATTATCTACTTAGTTAATTTCAATTTTTTTTTTTGCCGTACCCATTAAAATAAGAAAAATTAGAAAAAGAGTGTAGAAAAACAAAGGTTTAGTGAGAAACACATGGAGAGACTTAAATGATATTAAATTATTTAGGACAGAACTGGTATAAGATTGATTATATTAAAAACAAGTATGAAAGTTTAGTATGTCTGACATGAAACAGTTATAATGCAAATGGTGAGCGATATTGATCAATGCTTAATTCCGGAAATAATGAAATTTTTATTATTCATAATGGTACTCTCACATTAGATCTCTTATAATGAGGTAATTATAAATAAAGGGTTAAGCGATTGAAGTGTTACCAACTACACACAGGTCATCTGTCAAACTGATATTGCCAGCTATGTGAATGACAGCTGTTTATATTGTTTACAAGCTACCATAAGCTTTTTATTTTGTTTTATAGAACAAAAGTTATTTGAAATGGAATTCAAACATAATAGTGTGATTGCGTTATATTGCCATAATTGCCAAAATAGTGGAAGTTCACACTCGTGAAGCATACAGTTAATTTTTATAATCGTTTGAAGGATATAGTCAAAACAAAAGGTGGCCACATCTAACTATAGTAAATGGATTCTGAAAATTTAATTATTTCCATAAATTTTTGTAAATTTCACTCATAAAAGATATAGTCGCTTGAGTAGATAAAACACTTCAATCGTCTAATCCTATAGATCTTCCACAATATAGAAGATTTATATATCGAGTATTTTATTCCAATAAAAAGAGAAGAATAGTAATAATATTGAGAATAAAAATGACAACAAAGACAATAATGGAAGAAAGCTTGACAAACGAATAAATAATAAAATAAAATAAATAAAATTAAATAAAATTTTTATATATATCTAAATATATTTTGTATATATATCTTTTTCATATTTAATTTTTTTTCAACTTTATCGAGAAAATGCGCTAGTTTGCGTTACCATTTTTATAAATGATTATTATAGTCATAAAAATATAAATGAAGAAACTTATGTATACATAATACATACAATATATTATTGTATATATTATATATATTATATAGAGCTAATAAACTTTCGTACGAGAAACTATTTGAAATCTGAATTGTAAGATAATTGAGAAAAAAATTTTGTTAATGCTTCAAATATTGTTTTGCAGTAAAAAAATAAATGGACTGAATAATTCCCATTTTAGACAAATTTATAAGAAGTTTATTATTATAATGAAATAAATAATTTTAGAAAAAAAAAGAGAAAAAAAAAATGAAGAGACTATATTAAGTTAGTAAGAAAAATGATAAAAACTATATAGTACGATGAAACAAAATAAAATTTATATATAGCATAATAAATTATATCATTAATTTATGAAATAATGATATTAATATGAAACAGATGTCGCGTTAGAAATTAAATCGATACTACCAGAGACTTACTCAAGAAATAGTATAAAAGGAAATTTTTGGAAAATTGTTTGGAACATACATTTTTGGATCAAAAGGATTTGAAACCAGTTTTTGTTTTTTATAAAAACAACTACAAAAATTTTATAATATTAATATAATAAAAGATTTATATAATAAAAGTTTAGTATTAATATAATAATAATATGACACCATTGTAACAACACTATATAGAAATGCATCCGAAATAACCCAATAATTTGTAAAATAAACCATTTAATAGTAATTTATAAATTAATAAGAAAAATTATAATAAAATAATATTATATTAATATACCTACTAAGATAATTACAACAAAGATAATAAAATTATATTGATGTCCAAAAAATTATTGGCTGAAAAATGTTCGATTTTTGTGCCTGAAACTGTCCAATCTTAGAATAGCTTTTGAGAGAGAAGTTTTCGAAAAAGCTCGAAGGCTCAAAGAGAAAGCTTTTTAATATGTTTCTTCAACACAAAACAATTTTTCTTTATCGAGGAAATTATCGACACGCAGAGTTATGTAGAAGGATGAGCACAATACTAATTCTACGGTTAATATACTCTACGTTTTTTTGAAGCTTTGCTACTTTACACTCATGGAATAAATGGAATAATGAAAGAATATGGTCCATGGTCTACTGTTTAAAAAAAAAATTGACAAAACTAATACGGCACTGTGTGAAGGTTGCAAAGATAATATATATTGCGATTGCTTATATTCTTTTTGAATTGAAGGTAATAATTATTAAACTCTTAACTAGTGACAGAGAAAGAATGAATTAAAATTTGTAATATTACAATAACATAACTATAAGTAATGTGAATAAAATAAATAAATTAAATTGAATAAATAAAAAATTGTGAAAACTTCTATGAATGATTTAATTAAAAAAATGTAACAAACTATAAAAATATGATAGTTATGATACAGTTATTTTCATTATATTAAATTTTCGTTGTATTAAACAAGTATAATTTTGGTAGATATCTTTATTAGAAAATACGTTGTAATATTTAATAATAAATAAATATTTTGTAATTAGTAAAATTATGAAATAATAATGTAATCGAATTAAAAATAGACTGTATTATTGTATTAACTTTTGAAATTTCTAAACTAGAATTAATTGATAAGATATAACTATTTTTATTTAATTGAATATTAATGTCTAAATGTCAAGTAATTCATTTGCGAAGAGAGAGTACTGGTGATAGTGAAGGAATTTTTATCTATAAAATTTAAGTTTTCAATAAGTCAACTTTAGAGTGATCATATTGCTAATATTACTGGTTTACTCAAATTGAAAAGCAGATTCACGTGTCAGTCTAATCTAACGAAAAAATTAACAAAACTACTAATTTGAACTTGAATTGCGCAAAATAAGTATAGAATATGAGTTTACGTTTCAAATTTGCTAGGGTTCGATTTATGGTAGTTCAAAAAATTGTGTTTAGACCATTAAATATTAAGGACCATATATTGACAATGATCCTTAATCTAAACCAGTTAGTATAACATGTCTATATAGAAAATATCTTATATAAATAATAAACAAATAAATAATATAAACATTTTATAAAATTATATATATTTCCCAGAAATCTTCTATCTGTTTTAGACTTCAAACGAACTACATAAATCAATATTTATATAAGGACATATACATTTCTTATAATTTAATTAAAAGTATTTAGTATTTTGTTTTAAAACTTTAATATTTTTTTATATATTTTTTTTTTACATTAACTTGGGTTTGACAAAACTTCATAGCACAAAAAGGCTTTAAAAATTCATTTTCAAAAAAACATACCATCAATTGTCATTGTCCTATTCTCACACCACTTCTCATATATACTAATTGTGCTGTGATTCAAAAATTATTATTGTTTGTTATTATTGTTATTATATGTATGTTTGGTCCGTAAGTTTTACGTATTGTGCAGATGTAAACATTAATAATTTTAGTTACCCTTGACATAATATATATATATTTTTTTTTACTAAAAAAATATTTTAAATACCACCCATTGCATTCATAATTATTTTTATATAAATTCTTAATTTTTTTTTCTTCATTTCTTCAATTATAGGTACTGTTATGAATGTGTTAATAAAGCTACTAATGAACGTAAATGCATAGTTTGTGGTGGACATCGTACAGCGCCTGTAGGAAAAATGATTTACTGCGATCTATGTCCTCGTGCCTATCACTCAGATTGTTACATTCCACCTTTACTAAAAGTACCACGCGGTAAATGGTACTGCCATGGTTGTATATCAAAAGCACCGCCACCAAAAAAACGCACCAGCAGCAGTAAACCACGTAGAGATCGAGATTCGTCTTCCTCATCTTCATCTAAAAAACGTGACAAACATGGCGTGAATACAATTGGTGACCAACACAATACGACAGCAGAACATAATTTGCAAAATTCGTCACAGCAATCGTTAAATTCATCACATGATGAATCGATGGCTTCACTTCCAGCTCCTTTGAGGTAGTTATCATCGGCAAGTAATTTTTAAGTTTGTGTAGGATACAACTATTGCTATATCATAAACAAAAACAACTTTTTTGACAAGCAATAGTTGAGTAAAAAAGTTTTTTTGATAGATAAATTTAAACAGTAACTTAAAAAAAAGAAAAAATAAATAAAAAATGACACTGACTCTGAACTTCAAATTTGACAGGGTACGAGTTCAACCCTTGTTAATTGCAGTCTCAAAAAATTATTTGTGAATAAGTACATAGAAAAAATAAGCCCAAGACCACTGACGATGAGTATTTGGCAATACTCAAAACAGCTGTATGGTTCAGCCAAATATTAAATTAATTAAAATTAAAAAAAATTTTGTTATTACAATTCATTACTGTTCGGTGAAAACCTCTCTATTGAAAATATTAGCTTTTATTAAAAATTTAGTTTCGTCGAAATGGGCGTTTATCAATTTAATAAAAAAAATAAACAAAAATAAATAAATAAATAAACAAATAATTAAACAAATAAATCACTAAATAAAAAAAAATAAATAGATAAAAAATAAATAAAAAAATAAATAAAAAAAATAAATAAAAAAATAAATAAAAAAAATAAATAAAAAAAATAAATAAAAAAATAAATAAAAAAAATAAATAGATAAAAATAAATTAAAAAATAAATAGATAAAAAATAAATAAAAAAAAAGTAGATAAAAAATAAATAGATGAAAAATAAATAGATAAAAAATAAATAAAAAATAAATAAAAAAAAAGTTGGAATGATTTTAATTATATTGTATCAAGTTTTATAAATATGAACAGAGCTTTTAATGTTCATTCCTTAAGTATTTCAAAAATATCTAATTCTTCACGCCTTGACAAAATAATTGTATATAGTTTCATTTTAATAAATATTTTCAGCATTATATTTCGTTAGTATTAGTTCTTAACATTCTAATAAAAACTATAAAATATAAAAGTAATATTTCATCATCATCTGTTTCGCAAAAAATTTTTTAGCCCAGCGCATTCCATTGCTTCCACCTCGTTTGAAGATCATCACAACAATTCAATTGACGGTACTAGATTTCAATCACAAATAACAAATCGTCCACAAAGTCCCTTAGCAAATAACGATTATGGCGATGTTAGTATGGAAGATATATCAGTACATCAGCAATCGTCTCTGCTACAGGCCTACAATACACCTCATCAACCACAAATACATCATACACTTCAACAACAACAACAACAACAGCAGCAGCAGCAGCAAATTGTACAACAAGTCGCTCCAACATCACCATCATTACTACAACAAACAAATAATTTTGTTAATCTTGGTGCAACAAATCATCAAACACATTTAGATCCACAGTTACAGTCACAGTCACAGTCACAAATGCCGTTAATAGTATCACAAACTCAAATACCATACGCAATCCCCCCATCCTCACCGCATTCTATACATCCACCACCGCCGATGGTGATGCCAAGCATGCAATCACTTATACAACCACCAACTACTCTTTTACCAGCAAATTCGCCACAACACGTAACATTTCCATCACCACGTGCCACAACTCCAACACATCACATGCAACAGCATTCACCACAACATCAACTTCAACCGTCACCACGTCCAATAACACCACCAAATCTAGGCCAGATAACGGGCCCGCCTCCACCAATCAATATACACGCAGTTCAAGAAGCTAAAGAAAAACTAAAGCAAGAGAAGAAAGAGAAACACGCTACCAAGAAGCTGATGAAAGAGCTTGCTGTATGCAAAACCTTGCTAGGTGAAATGGAGGTAAGATAAGAATTGGTTTATAATTGCATAAACAAATAATTAATCAATATTTCTTCCTATATATAATGTAGCTACATGAAGACTCTTGGCCATTTTTATTACCTGTAAATACTAAACAATTTCCAACCTATCGCAAGATTATAAAAACTCCAATGGATTTATCTACCATCAAAAAGAAACTGCAAGATTTAATGTAAGTTTTTTATCTTCATTGTCAATAAAAAAAATAAAATAATTTTTAATATATTTTATTTTTATTATTTGCAGTTATAAATGTCGTGAAGACTTCTGCGTTGATGTACGTCAAATTTTCGACAATTGCGAACTGTTCAATGAGGATGACTCTCCCGTAGGTAAAGCCGGCCATGGCATGCGTAAATTCTTTGAAATGCGTTGGACAGAGTTGACTGACAAACATTCATGATATCAAATACATCACTATAAGTATTCGACAAGTGATTAATTAAAAATGTAGCTACGTGCGAGTATTTTATTTTTATAATTCCTTTAAAAAAAATGTTTTATAACACAAAAAAAATCATTTCGTTTTAATTGAACTTTTTTAACAAACAAGAAAAAAAAAGAAAATCAAAATACAAAAAAAATCGAAAAAATAATTAAAGAAAATTGTAAAAAGTGCATAAAAATTTTGCGCTATTTGTGGAAAATTAAGTTAATTAAAATATTAAATATTATTATATGTATATTAAACATAACATTGACATATGCATACGTATTTATAAACATTATATTGTATAAGAAATAATTAAAAAAAACCATTTTATTTTGGTAAAGAAATTTAAGCTAAAAGTATTAGAGACGAAAGTATATAGTTTTTACATGTTTTAATTTAGATTCGCTAGTACACCTACTATTTTACATTAAATGTAATTAATTAGCTTAATCGTGTATTTAAATGTATTATTTTAATAGCTATAAATGTATTATAATAACGGTGGTTACTTCCTTATAAACAAAAGCAACACAAATAACAATTCGCGCAATTTAAAAATTTTAAACATTGCCAATAATATCAATACCACCAATATAAATTCACATATTAATAATAATTATATACATTAATTTTTAATTTTGCTTGTAGTTATCAGCTTGTAAATATATATGTAAGGAAATCTTAATAACAGTTTTAATTTAATTGTAATGTTATGTTTTTAAGTTATTAATACTTTTTTGCTCAAATCATAAAAAAAATATACAAACCGAATTATTTTTAAAAAATCTTAATTTTAAAAGGATTAATCAATATTTTATATAACATAAAAAGCAAAATTGCTATGAAAATAACGTACAAAAAATGTTACTCTTACTCCGCCTATTTATAATTTCGTTACAGTATTTTTAAAAATTTAATATCAAATATATATCCATAACTTTTTTAATTAATTAGCTTTTAAACACACTATATATAAAAGTATATCTATTACGTTGCTATAATGATTTTATAATTTTTAATTTTTTTAAAGCATTATTATTTTTTAAATTAATTGTTTTACTATTCATTTTTTTTTAATAATGTACTTAGTTTTATTATTATTACAATTAATTCTAAAAATATACATTATTGTTAAATTCTTAATATATTGAATATTTTTAATATACAATTTTATGTTTAAATGAATTTTATGATTTTAATTTTTTTCTATTTTAAATTGTTAATTTTTATTTATTAAATTATATTATTATGTAATAACTATTTTATAAATTAAAAAGTATTTTTTTTTACATAATTTGAATACATATATTAACTATTATTTTATAAGAAATAAACCTGAAATATAACTATTTAAAATGCTAAAAACATTTTTTTTCTTGAAACTTTATTTTTCTGTGTAAAATGAGAGATTTTTAAGATTCATTTTTTTAGTTCATATTTTAGTATTAGGCTACTGTGGTCTAAAAAAAATTTTTTTTTTATTTTATTATTTATCATTGATTTT